GGGAGGGAATCTGGCTCTGCTTAAATGACAGGAAGGGAGCAGCGGCTGTCAGAGGGGGGGTTGAGACAAGGGGAGCAACTCGTAATGGAGTTTAGAGACCAGGCAATAATTATAAACTAATTAGGCTAATTGTCACCTGACCGTTTAGACGGTGTTTATTTTTACCAAAGCAGTTTTTAAATTTTATTTTTTGTCATTCGTTGACTTTGCCGTGAATGTCTAACAGAGAAGATCCGCTCTTAATGTTTCACTTTTAGTGCTATGTTGAGCCTCGGGGTGAAAACGTTGTATGTGTCGAAGCCGTGCCAAATGGCTGTTGTCCTATTTTAACGGTTGGCACTGCAAGTGTGGACTTGTTTCCTTTTGTGATGGTAGAGGGATGCACTGGAGCGCTAACACCTGTCGTTACTCTTCCGATGCTACACTCCTCTGCGTGCTCTGCCCTTCCTGAATGTGTTTCGTGAAATGACCGTAAGCACGGGAGCGTTGAGTTTGAGCTGTCAGGATGTCACCATGTCCGACTCGACTTGAATGTCTCCGACATTTCACAGTGCACTGAAACCCCGATGCCCATATAAGGAGTGGCAGAAAGCATAGAGAAAGAAGGGTTAAAGAACAAATATGGGGAGTGTCCTCTGAACCAGTCCGACCGACCTGCTCCCAGTTTCACAGATGAGAGATACTGGCTTCTCAACAGGAAGCCTTCGAAATGCTTTTAATAGTTTTCTTGGCTGCGCGTTGCTCTAAATATCTCTATGCGTCAATTGTAGGCATAAGTATAGCATAAGCAAGCTCAGCTGTTCATTTATAAACTGAGCAGTCCAGTGGTGAACACTTTCAGGCCCTTTTGGTTTTATCGAAAGTTTCCTGTCACCACAAGTGTCACTGCAGGTGACTCCTGCGTGGGTGGTTGACTGCAGGGGATGAGGAACTTGTTCTTACATGCCAAACCACAGTCACTGCCACACATCAAATCAAACTGTACTGTACAGATCATATAATCTAAGTGAAAAGTGAGGCTGAATGATATACTGATAGTATTTATATGTTACACATAAAGTCACAAGTATATAACTCTATTGCATCTTCTGTGAATAACTTAGGCACAAGGAGGTGGTGAAGCTGCTGAGGAAGACTGGAGCTCACTTCTTCAGAGACGAGTTGGACGAAGCAGGAACTGAACTGTGCAGGTGAGACACGCATTGAGCACGTCTTCAAACAATTGCACACGCATAAAGTGGCGAATTTCCCCGGTTGCTTCGCCATCATCACAGTGACCGATCCTACATAGTTGACACAGGCTCAACCAGTTGTCCCACTGTTACACAAACGGTAGGAATGCTCCCCGGCAGCATAGCTTTGCATCTGTTCTGCGTGTACGACACAATGGCTGGCCCCTGTTACATCTACCTGAGACACCCGACAGGTTTTGTCAAGACAAATTACAGTTTCAGAAACACGCCTTTTATAAGGTTCGATGAGCATGGCTTGTGTTGCTGTTAAGATAAAACGTAAATATCTAGGTCATGAGATACAACGTTATCAATTTTTTTCCCTTGATGTGCTGCCTAGTTTCAGAAAAGTCTCTTTACACAACAATTTGTCCTTCACCCAATGGCTCTTTGATTGTTGATCATATCCGATTTTGGGAAACGGAGCCCTGTGTTGCAATAACTCTGTTGTGTACCTCCTGTGTGCCAGCCTGGCAGCCAGCGGTGACCTGGAGGGCCTAGAAATGTGGAAACTTGCTGGAGCTGATCTGAATAAACCAGGCTATGACGGACAGACAGCACTTCGACTGGTGGGTCCTCAGGACATATTGTCCACTTTTAATAACAAAGTTCATAAGAAAACCCTGTTTTATTCATTCGTTTTCTCATTCTTCACCTCTCACAGGCCCACGCTATCGGCAAAAAGGAAGTGGTGGCATTTTTAGTCCAACTCATGGGCAAAAAATCCAAGGTAACCACTATTCTCCACTTTAGCTGCTTCACATCTCCATTTCTGTCACCAGCTTTAACTTTGATTTGCACACAGATTGGTATAATTCTCTGTCTATATTTGCCTCTCAATTACATGTCTGTTCTGTTTAATTTCAGCCAGTATTTGGTGAATTTAACGAGTATGATGAGGATGAGGATGATGATGATGAGGTAAATGAGATGTGGTGTGTTTTCCGAGTTTGTGCATTTCCCAAATTGAGCATGAGCATGCCTGTGTGCCTGTTATAAAGCCATACATCCATCCGTTTTGTAAACCACTCATCCTGCTCAGGCTTGTGTATCCCAGCATGCTTTGTGTAAGAGGCAGGTTTCAACCCTGGGGAGGTCACAGGACTAAAACAGTCGCACCTACAGGCAATTTAGAGCTCCCAATTCACCTGGCACCTAGAGGAAACCCATGCAGTCAGTGGGAGAACATCAAACTGCTCATGGAAAAGACTCAGTCGTCCCTGCTAGGTTTCAAAGCGAGGGCTTTCTTGCTAGCGGCAGTGCGAATCACCCATGGGGCCCTTGTGCATATTGTGTTTTAAATAACACATACACAGTAAAATATATTAAAAGAGGTTTCAAGGGATTCAACAAAAGAGAGTATAATTGGTAATAGTTAATGAAAAATACATTTCTAAGTAAAAAAAGTGACGAATCGATTAGTTGATCGACTGGAAAATGAAACAGAAACAATGTTGACCCCTTTCTAAAAGCAAAAATGTCAATCATTTACAGGTTCCAGTTACTCAAATGTGAGTATTTCCTGGTTTCTTTTGTTTCACAACAATGTAAATCAATTTCTGGGAAATTATGACTAGCCTGTTTCTCTGCTTTATGACGTTTAATTTATTTATCTTTTAAGTCTGTAAATCAAGAAAACAATCAACAGATTCATTTATAATTACAGTAATTGTCAGTTGCGGCCCTGCTTTCGAGAAGCAACCGTGATCGTTGAGAGTTCAGCTAAGCGTGCCTCAGACCTCTTTGTTTTTCATCAAAACTACACCAATACCTGTGAGTGCTAAACCTGTGCAGCCTGCTTTACACTCTGCTGACTTGTGTGTGTGTGTGTGTGTGTGTGTGTGTGTGTGTGTGTGTGTGTGT